AGATTTGTTTGGTACTGGGAGTTGCTATTTTGTAACAGTATTGAAATTATGATGATGATGATGATGATGATGATGTCATCGTCTTGGAGATATTCACAAATCCACAGGGCAATGAATTAATAGAAAAAGAAACATTAAAATATTGCAATTAGTAATCAGTTTGCAAGAAAATAATATAAGATAGTAGAACATAGCACAAACTATATAGAATCTAACAGACCAAAGGTCAAATTTTATTACTGTTATTTTTAATGTGTATAATGTATACAGATAAATTAATGTTTAAAATCTTTAGTTTCATATTTCTAGTCAGGAATAGAGTGTAGCCTTTGCAGGACTATTATAAGGAATAAATGAGAAAATAAGTGTAAACTGCAGCTCACTTAATAAGGACACAATGAAGATGAATGTCTTTTTGTTCCTTCCTTTAATATATTTCTGATAAGTACTTTCTTAAAACAATCCCACTTGCTTAAAAGATGGAAATATGTCTTTGATAATACTACTTAGTAAATATCAATCAATTATTTAGTTATTGAACCATACTAACCCCGTGAAAGGAACTGAGAAAGCAAAGTGGACATAACATAATTCCTGTCCTAGTAAACAAAACAGTCTGCTCAGGACATAGACATTTACCATGATAAATTCCCATATTAACCTAATAATTAGAGAAGAATTAAGATCTGTGGACTGGGCAGGACAAAATTAACTCTGGGAAACTTGAGAAATGCTTCAACAAGAAGGTGAGATTTGAGCAGGATTTTGAACTAGCAGTAAGATTTTATAATGTAGGGAAGAGAAGGACTAGCATTTCAGATGAAGGAAACCTTATGGGAAGAGCCATGGACCCATGGGAAAAAGGCTGTACGCAAGGAGCAGAGGTGTGGTGACAGTGAACACCGGGTGGCGGTATGCGGAGAGCATGAGGCTGTAGGAGTCTGAGGAGACATACTGAAGTACTGTAAACCAAATCACAGGCCTTGGATTTTATCCTGTGGACAGCCAGGGAGGTCAACAGCAATTTCAAAGGAAGTGGTTGGCATTCATTCTTCCTTGGGAAAGTTCCTTCTTTTGACTATGAGAGGAATAATTTGATTTGTCTGGGAATAAAAATGGACTGACAACAAAGAAAGTAGTAAAGAAGTATTACTAGAGTCTGTGAGAGAGATGACATGTAGGAAAAAAAGCAAAAGGTAATGATCAAGACAACCCCATATTGTTCAATGGAGAAAACAGTGACACTCACGTTACGTAGCAAAGTCAGAGAGAGAGAGAGAGAGAGAGGATGGTTTGAAAGAAGGAGAATGAGTTGTTTGAACATTTTTGGAATATCTGGGAGAGATCTTGTTGATAGATCTGGTATAATTTTTAGGGGATCTCAAGGTGCTATTAGGAAAGAGACTGAGTTTAAAATTGAGATTGAGTATAAAATGTAGATCTGAGATAGGAAGAATAGAGGGGTATAGTAGCTGTTGCCTAGGATTACAATTTTGAAAATATTCATGGTAACCGTACAACAACTGAGGGGGCAGAGAGAGTGAGTCAACTGTTCCTTGGGAAGTAGGAGTAGCTGCAGAGGTAGCTGTTGCATTAGGAAAGCTAAGTGAGGTGATGATTTCTGGAAGGTAGTTATCAAAAGTATCAAAAGCTGCTGCGGGATAGATGATGAGGCCTGACTCAAGATGTTTAGATTATGCTGTTTGACTTTAGAAACTACAAGGTTTTTTCCTCCAAGGTTGGACATTTGTGGGTATTCTGTAGAGCACAGCTTTTTCAATTTTATTATGCATCAGAATCCTGTTAAAATGCAGATCCTCTGGGATGAGACCCAAGATTCAGTATGTCTAAAAAGTTCCAAGTGATGCCAGTTTTGTTGGTCTTTGAACAGCACTTTGAATGGCAAGTTTCCGGCAATTAGTAAAAATGGATAAGTTAAAATTCAGGATCTGTTTACTTTGAGAAGCTTTCTTCCCTGATAATAAATGGATATTATAGTTCCACATATTTGCCCTGAAGGTAGATTAGAAAGGTATGGTAATTTGGATATTTCTGTGTACTGAACACCAGATGAGTTTCATTTTCAAAAACTTCATTTGACTGTCTCTAGTCTCCTCCTCTTGTCTTCCATGTTAGGGAACTAAAAAGCATTCCCTTAATATTTACTTTATCAAATAGATGAGCAGATACTTCTTTTTGGTAGAATCCACAATGAGTCTCAAAATATTTATTTCTTTTGTGCTTTGTTTCTGATATTTTTACCACCCATTAGCTAGAAGGAGTCTCATTTGACAATTTTCCAGGAAAAAAATACACAATCCTCAATCCAGATATTTTGAAAATTCCTAGTTTATTGGTGTTCTGACTCTGTTTATCTTCCCCGTCTTGCCTCAGAGCTGTGTCTACATGTCCCTTGTGTGTTTTACCAATAAATTGTATTAGCTATACAGCCTCACCTACTCTGTTACTATACTGAAACTAAACTTACTAAATCTGAAACGTGGGATATGGTATTACAAGCACCGTGGGGAAAAATAGTGGTTTTCTACTGAGTGTGGAGGCAGAGCGAAGTAGAAGATTAAGAAAAACGAAAGGGGCCAGAGGCACTGTGGGACACGCTGGGGGCTTGAGTTAGTGCAATAAACAAGGAAATTGGAAGAGAACACAATGCAAATGGATTTGTAGAGGTTAAATCAGAGTGACAGCCTATTGATTGCATATCTGCAATAATTAAAAGAAAAAAGAGAAGAGTCAACTACCGAGGTTTCAAGCCCATTGGACTAAAGAAAATGATGATCCTGTGAATAGAAATTAAGAAATTAGAGGAAGGATCTGATTAAGACTTGGGGATAAAAGAGGGAAAATGGTGTTTAATGTGATGATTTTGAAGATCATGGAAATGGGACGTCTTTTCCTCAGTTGATATTGATGGTTGGGAGTGTGATGCACACATTAATTCTAGTTTATAGTAGATTTTACTTAAAGTCTTAGGCAAGAAATGAATGATATGCAAACAATGAATCATGGAACACTACATCAAAAACTAATGATGTATGGTGATTAACATAACAAAAGAAAAGAAAAGAAAAGAAATGAATTGCTAAGTGAAAGAATGCATACAAGTGTTTGAGGAAAGAGGACCTATGAAAAATCATGCCTTTAAGAGCTCGATAGAGGGAAAGGACCCAGTGAAGGAAAGAGAAAATGGACAAGAATGATGGTGGGCAAATCAAGTGAGCTCACTGGTATTACCGTCTGTGAAAGAGAGAGATTCACAAAGGCAGAGGGAGCAATATGAGTCAGATACAAAGATGTTAGAGTATGGTGAGAATTAATAAAAGTCTTGTGTTCTTCACACAACAGTTTCACTAGTGCAAGCAACGCAGAACAGAAGCCAAGTTTCAAAGGATTAAAATATGAGGGCTTGGTACAAAAATCTAGGCAACATGTAGAGTATTGTTCTTTCATAATAAACTAGAAACCACACATGGGCCATAAAACCAAACCGATTTTAGCAAGTCAGTTGACCTTTCTAGATTTCCTTCCCCCACCTCACTTCAATCCTAGAAATTATTGTACTTCTTTTAAAATCATGGACGAAAACCCTATCAGATGGCTTCAGTACCCTGAAGGAAAGTACATTGTTTCATTGTCATCTCTCCAGCTAATATTTGTGTTCAATTTGGAGAGTATGGGATCAGACATAGTAGTGAACCTTGAGGTAGGTCTTTTTCTTTTGGATTGACAGCTAGACTGAGAAGTTCACAAAAAAAAGTTTCTTCACTTTGGGTGCTTATATTTTAAATTTAAATTTTAAATTAATATCTCATTTCAGTCAGACACTTTGGTTTTTATTTTTACATTATTCTCTGATATCATTGTTACTGAAGTAGTTGGGCCACTTGCCCCAGTGTAGTTAGGATACACAATTTATTATAGGCAAATGAATAATATATCACATATCAAATGTGAAAAATGAGTGCTCTGAAAAGCTCCTTAGTTATGAGGGTTTATTCTTTTCTATCCGGGCGGTTTTTAAGGGCCTTTGTGCTCCCTCACAATTCACCTGAAAAGTGGTTCTCCACTCGGGCATCAATCCATGACCATCACAGGATATGTGAACATGTTTCAGGTCTAATTGGGTCTCACCATATCCTTCAAAACACTAATTTCAGAACACTCAGGTAATTCAGGAGTTAGTTTAACTTTAAGTGCAAAATTTCATTTTTGTTTGTAAAATATTCACTGCTCTTTAGAACTCAGTTTAAATAATGCTTTTTTTTGTGTCTTTGATCAAAGATTTTGATTTAAAATTTGTTAAGAATTATAACTGAAGAATGCCCAGAAGCTGTCATTAGTAGTTGTGCAGTTTGTTTTTGGAGAACTTAACTCCAGTTTATTCCATTTAACCTATATATAGATCTTTCTTTAGAAAAACATCTTGTATTGTTTGCTTCCTTAAAACATTCTATCTAGGACTCGAGATCAAGCAATACATTCGTCAGAAACCAGATATTTCAGTCATTTGGTTTTGGAAATAATATTCCAGTTAAAGCAGAAAATTAGAAGCATTTACCAAAGAAAATAATGACTCTCATACTCTTTCTGTTCATTTTAAACTTTTTGGGAAAGATCTCTTTGTATTATGTAAAGTTAAACTTTAGCTTTCCTGAAGTTTTCCTACTCATTTACAAAGGTCAAATTTCTTTATGAGCTGAAATCCTCCTTAAAATAATATGAACAATATCATGCAGCCGTAATTTTAAAGTGATGGCATACTTTATTCCAAGGGGTGCACTGCATCGTTTCGTAGTGTGTTCATTAATCAAAGGTCATGGTATATATGTTGCATTATCATAATTTTCTAATTAATTTATTCTTTATACATGCTTATACATGTTCCAATTGCATTTCATTAACTCATAGTTTTCTTGTAATGTGCTTTCTTTCCATGTTCAAAGAATCTCTTTAATTCAATTTCTCTGTTTCTCCTCATACAGTCTGGCAGCCAGATATGCAACTCAGTCTAATCACAGTGGAATTGCAACCAGTCAAAAAAAGCCTACTAGGTCAGTTAATATCTCTAATTTATTGCTTGTTAGTGATAATAAAGTAACTGCCCAGTGATATTTTGTCCTATCATTCTAAATTTTTTTCATAAATTACATACTTCTGGATGAAAAGTTTCGAAGACTGAATTCTTCCAAGTGGATTTCCATATGCATTCTCGGGGATGAGCATGTCTGTGTTAGATCATTAAATGGGTTTTGGCTTCTTCTGTTTTAGTTTTGTTATATATACTGTTATGACTGGGCTGAAGTCTAGCTTCTAAGCTTAGAGAAAGTCAAGGAAAACATTACTTGGAAGGCCCCATTCCTTCCAGGTTACAGAATCCGAGAGTTACAAGACAAGAATGTAATTGTTTTTCGAGATGGGCATGCATTAATTATTGCACATTTTGAAGCAGAATTGAGAAATAGTGGCAGCTTTTTGTGGGGAGGTTAGCACCAAGTCACCAAGTTAACCTGGACTGTTCCTTTATCTATAATAGTTGAAATTTTTGCTTCTTTCTGACATACATATTTTAAAGACAGTCTGTTATAGCAAATGACTGTGTTATATCCTGTTTGGAAAATACTGATTGATAAATGTATATTGAAAGTGTTTGATGTTTTTTTTAAAAAATGTTAAGTTGCCGAAGGCATGATGGTACAGCTGAATGAAGCCACAGCAAATGTGTTTGGAACCCCTGATTATTATGTGATTATATCTGCCCTCTCCCTCACTGGGGAGGTATCTCTGTGGTGGTTTCCTAATCACTGCTCAGATAACGTATCGTATTATGCAATGTTTGACCACAAGGATGGCTTATGATGCCTTGATGTGAGGTATGTGCTTTTCCTCTTGCCTTGGTTTTCTAAGTTATGTTCATTTCCATAGTAATTAAAATGATTCGGGAGAGAAAAATTTAAAGGGTATTTAATTAAAAGTAGGAAAAAATGATATAAATTCAAATGTGCAAAATACAGTGACCTGCCATGTACAGTTTTTATTACCACTTCTAAGACTCATGCATATAAAATATATTCTAAGCACATTAATTTAATAGAACATTTCTCTCTCTGACTTTTGTTGGCTTCATTCTCATTTCTCTTTTTATTACTTTGATGAATGATCTGGAGCTCTGGCTGCCTGTCAAATTAGGGTAATGAGAAGACCAAATGGATTTTTTAATTTGTTTTAATTTGTTCTTCCAAGAACTAAAGATCACTTGGCTTCATGGGTCACAGTAAAGAATAAATGCAATTTAATTACTTTCTAGAAACAGGTCAAGTTTTATTGCAAGCAGGGCAAGTTTGGTGACAAATTTGTTTGTACATGTGAGTTTGGGATGGACTTTCTGAGTCTGTCGTTGTGTCCGCAGGAATAGTTCTTAGATTTATTATGACTCGGGCATTTGTCCAAATTAATTAATTGAGTTCTTTCTTTAGAGTGCAGTCATTGGTACTCAAAATTCCTGGTGTCTTTGGTTTTGTGCTATACTTACCTACCCTCTAGATCCATTTGAGCAAAAGTTAAATGCTGGAATCATTTGGAAAAGGTTCCAGCCTTGTACATGGCACAGCTTCTAATTAGCAAAATAGCTGAAGGAACTATTTATTAGCCATATGTATTTAAACTCCAGAATATAGTCAACATTTTGAAACTATTAACTATTCCAAGAAAGCTTAGCACTTGTGTTTTTAAGCCAGTATTTGTGTTTTCCTGATGTTCATTCCCTGTTGCAATACCTGTTACTATTTTAAAAAGTAGCTATAGTGTTTAAGAGTTTGATTTCCTAATAATCTACGGAAATAATATATCAATTATGAAGGTGAGTCAAAATACAAAAATAGTAACAACTGATCTTGAAATTGTGATATATTGGGCACCAATATAACAGATATAAACACTCTTTCATTTTAAAAATTCAGTATAGAGAACAGTAAAAATTTCCGTGCTTCATTTATAAGGGCTGGAGGTTTTTTTTTCTTTTAAAATAGAAATTATCAGAGCAGTACACAGTGACATGCACATGGTGGCAGCAAATAGTAGCCAAGACGCTGACATCCTTTAATATCATGTTGTTAAATATGACTTAGAATGCCAATATTAGTTCTACGCAGATTGTGTATTGTACATATACAATACGTTAATAGTGTAGAACAAAATATAGCGATTGTATATTGTAGGCGCCATTCATGAAATAATTGATACTTGAAATTTTAAGGTGGCAACTACTTAAACAGTGACATAAATGATCCACACGGGTATTTAATTTTAGTCCACATAAAATAACTGCAAATCACAACCTAATGTCAAACTTCCCCTAATTTTAACACAGTCTGCCTATTATTTCCTCCTGTCCTGTCTTTCATCCCCAAACACTAGCTGAAGTCACTGTCCCTGTGGGTGTATTTTACATTGACATTCTGCTAACAGAGATTTCCTGCCTCTCAGACCTGCACCCTTTCTTGTCATAGCACCCCTGTGGTCAGCTGGCCGCACTTGCAAGACAACAGCTAAAAGTCTAGGTGCTTACTTTTGGCAAAACGATTAAAGAAAAGAAATTTTTTGAGGCAGACCAGTAAAATATAAATTAACTCATGACCTTGGTCTCTGCACCATGTTTGAATGAGAATAGCTTACTACCTTTGTTATGCACTAAGCATTTGCTATTAGCAATTTGTTCAGTAACTTTATTCTTCTTGTTATTATCAAGTTGACTTAGGAAACAACTATCTAAGAGAAAAATAAATGTCCCATACATTGAAAAGAACAACTTAACAACAACTGCAAATAGGTGATTAATACCCCGAGAACATAATACATTTGTGTTATTTCCCTTGCTTTTCATGTAATTGGTATAATATTTTTAAGTCAAAGTGTTATTCGTCAGGGGTGTGGTAAGTATGACTTTTTAAGTGAAAGGTTACTTTATTTCTAATTGCTCTACATTACTGATACCATTTGAGGGCATGTTTATTGAAAAGTGAAACAAGATTTTTCTGAAGATTCTTAATCCTTGTGTTTAGCTATTTATCACTGAAACCACCATTTTCTGCTAAATAGATTTTAGAACATCATATATTGTGCTTTTTCCATTAAGGCCTCCCCAGTCAGAACCTCCTACCCCCATCTTTTTGTAATATACAATAATGATGTAATTTTTCTTATACTATTTCAGGCTTCCAGGTCCCTCTAGGGTACCAGCTGCCGGCAGCTGCAGCAAGGTCCAGGGAGCCTCTAATTTAAATAGGAGAAGTCAGAGCTTTAACAGCATCGACAAAAACAAGCCTCCAAATTATGCAAATGGCAATGAAAAAGGTAAGTGTTTGCCTGTTACATCATTGTGGCACAAGTCTAACGGATTGATTGGTCTTATAAATTACATGCTCAGTCCAATATTTGAGCAGTGTTAATGCCTTTTGGAATGGAGTCGTTATCAGTGTGGTTTCATGTTTTCTAACTTCCCCCTCCTGAATTCCAGCTTTCTTTAGGGCTTTTTTTATCTGAAGAACATTTTAAGGAAGTAAACTCATTTATTTTAAAGTGGCTAATTATATACCCAAGTATAAAATCTGTTTCCCCAAAACATTTCCTCCTGGTTGCATATAAATAGCATTTTCTTTTGTCTTCTCATGTTTTATGAACAATTATTTTAAAATCATAAATCTATATTAGGTTTATTTGAATCTTTAGCTTCAGTTGACATAAATGCCATAAGTGCTTTGGGCATCAAACATTGAGACATAATTAGGGTGAATATTTAATCTTTGAGAGCAGCAGGACACACGAAATAATGCGACCTTAGTTTTCCCCAAAGAGACAAGTTATCCATGTTTGCTTTATTTTCTTGGAAGAGTACGGGATAGAAATATCAGATCACAAAATCATCGGGAAGAAAGGACACTTAATGGAATCTGTGTGAAAGGCAAATTATATATTAACTAGATGACACACAATTCTTTGTGTTGTGCACAGTGTGCTTTTAACGAGGGGCTTGCTTGATACATTGCACTGTGGAGCATGGGTTCATGTGAGAGAGGGTGCATTTTACATCTAAACCAGGAGAAAATCAAGAACCTATACTGTTGTAGGCAGAGTGACTGTGTGAAGGACTAAGGCCTGTGGTTGGCTTTTGAGTTAGTTCCTTCAAATCCATAGAACTTTAACTTCTCTTTACAGTATTTAACTTTCCATGCAACAAAACATGAAGTTCAAAAGTAACAAACATGCTTAGTTAGTAGAAAAGCTGGCAAATTCAACCAGGTAGGAATTTTTTTGCTCAAATCAGATCATTTCAGATTGTTTCATACAGATGATATGATCTGACAACTTTCTCTAATTTAGACATGAAATGACAGATAATTTATGAATCAGCACTTTTGTGAAAATTTCTCATGCATTAAAACAAAATTGGACAGAACATAAATCCCTGAAAGCAAGGCAGTGTGTCTTGATCCCTATAATATTCCCTGTTCTTGAGTGGAATGGAAAAAGAAGAAAATAATGTATAACTGGAAGTTAGGGGTTTGTCTTTAAAATATAAAACCTCTGATTTAGGAACCTAAGAAATTTTACTGGACGCTTACACTTTTCCTGAGGGAAAGGGAGAAAACAATTACTCAGAAAAACTTTCTTTGTTGTTTTGTGACTTTCCTAGAAAGTGTCATACGGAGTCTGTATGTGCTGTGAAGGTTTAAGGGAGAGTGTGTTTAGACATATAGATGTGTTGAATGGACGTATCCAGTTTAACTACATGATTCTACAATTATGTAATATTTTTGCAAGAAATTACTAATAACATTGGCACAGAGACTTAGAAATGCTTCAGATGATCTAACATTTTGATATCATAATATATCTGAAATTGTCTGTCATGTGACATGGTTTTCTGTATCTCTGGCGTCTAAAAGTAAGGATCTAAAGGTAGACAAGCATTTCTATTTGTCCATAGCCATTCAACCTCTCTTATGAGCAAAATTAGGAAGTAGTAATATTTACAATAACCACAAGGTGGAGACAGATGACATAAATTATGAGGTTTTTGATTCAGAAAAGCAGATTTCCTTAGGTCCACATCTACAGCAAAATACAGGGTTTTCCTTACTTTTAATTCCCAAATAACTAAAAATTCAAAAGCATTTAAACTGTGTGATCTCACAGTCACAAATATTTATAATATGTCCAATATAGGCATTAAATGTCTGAAAACTGCCAATAAGAACTGAAGCATAAATTGCATCATATGATTGTTACATGGCATTTTCTATTAATGTGGAGTTACAACTTTATCAATACATCCAATATCAATATTTCTAAATTGATCATTCTGTCATGCTATTTTATATTTCTAAAATATTATCTTGGGGCACCTGTGTGGCTCAGGTTGTTAAGCATCTGGCTCTTGATTTCAGCTCAGGTCATGATCTTAGGGTCATGGGATCGAGCATCACATCAGGTACAATACTCAAGGTGGAGTCTGCTTGAGATTCTCTCTCCCCCTCTCCCTCTGTCTCTTCCGCCACTTGTGCACACACTTTCTCTCAAATAAATAAATAAATAAATAAATAAATAAATAAATAAATAAAATCTTTTAAAAAATAAAATGTTAAATTGTAAGAACAAACAAAACAATGATAAACATTACATACGAAACAATTTATAATTTATTCTTTAGGCTATTAGAGGGGAATATCTTCTTGGATAAGAATGTTTTATTTAATTTTTTTGACATGGATATTTGTAGTGGTAGCACAATCTATATAAAAATAGAAAATTTCTTCTGCTGACAAGCTGATCTCTGTCACAAACTGGTCTGCATATATATCCTTGATATGATCAAGTAAGGTGAAAACTAAGTAAGAGTTTTCAAAGGTCACAGTATTATAATGACAGAATTCAGAAAGTAGTAACTTGAGTAATTAATTGCTACTCCTTTTTTAGTTATTAGAAAGTGTAACATTTAAATTTAACAAATTAAGATATTTTACTTGAGGGATTAACCAAATTATCTGCAATGTGTTCCCTGAATGCTTCTAAGTAGAAATACACTTTCTACTTTCTTTAACAAGTCTTGGGTGATGAGTTATATGAACCACTTGAAGAATCTCTAGAATTTGTGATAGACAATAAAGATTTATTCACAATTAAAACAATTTCATTTCCCTATTTAAAAACATACTGTTGAAAGCACAGTGGGGCGCCTGGGTGGCTCAGTCGTTAAGCGTCTGCCTTTGGCTCAGGTCATGATCCCAGGGTCCTGGGATCAAGCCCCACATGGGGCTCCCTGGTCGGCGGGAAGCCTGCTTCTCCCTCTCCCACTCCCCCTGCTTGTGTTCCCTCTGTCTCTGTGTCTCTCTCTGTCAAATAAGTAAATAAAATCTTAAAAAAAAAAAAACATAGTAGCTTTTCACCTGTATAGCATTGTTAACAGTAAGTAACTTATTTGCAAATTGTGTGACTTATGAAAGGAAATCAGTAGAGAAACACAAACTGCCACTTCAAAAGATCTATCTAATATCATTTTAATAATAACACAATTCAAGAAATAGGGTGTTCATTTCACCATTTTCCAAATGAATTAAAATGTCCGTGAACATGGCCATTGATGCTCCTTTGTAGAGAAGGTGGAAAAGAAATGTTGTTACAGCAAGAGGCAATGGGTGGCACCCTTCTGCTGAAATGGAATGTGGGAACAGATTTTTCAGAACAAATGGTGAAATGAAGATAGCACTGTTGGTAGAGAAGAATTTCTTCTGAGAGTCCCAAATTTCTTCTCTTGGTGACCTGCCATTCAGATACTGACAATGAATAATACGTTCTGACACCAGCATTTAGCAATTTGCCCATACACTGTAGACAAGATGTATGCTTTAAAGAAAAATTAAATACCTACTCCCTGGAAATTGGGGATCATGTGAAAACGGTGCCCTTGTTCATTTATATATACACTTTCTATGCTTGAAGCAGATTACCTTAAGAAATCATTCTTGTATAAAATCTGGGTATTAAATATGAAAAAAAGCTACACAGTTTCATATTATTAGGAATGTAAATATCCCTAGCTTTATTTGGAATTCAGTTACTGAACTATGCTCTGTAAACACTTTTTGCTTGACAGAGTTTATTAGCAGAGAGTTGTTTTTCATGTTGCTAAGAAACATGCCAGAGGGCATTTTGCCATCTTTTTATTGTTTCTCCCAAGTGATTCTTACGTTGTACCTACACATCTACTAAAGAGATGTCCTTTCTGTTCTCCTAGATCCTAATAAAGTGTCCTCTGCTGTGGAAGGGTTCACTTCCATTTACACTCAACACAGGTAGAATAGGATTGATACTGAGAATTTGGCAACATTGCAGTTGAAATTTTAAAACTACAAGGTTAACGTGAATGTTGTATTAGTAATGGGATTTTGACTGCTAAAATGTAGCTATCTGATTCTTAAGTACCTTCTCTGTTTTTTTGTTAATTGCTCTGAAATTATTGTAGTATCAAAGAACTAAACTGTTTTATTTTCTTTTTAAGGCAATGCAAATATGTTTTACTTATTATATTGCTTTACTAGTGGCTGGATTACATGTTCCACCATGACTTTTTGCTTTATTTCCTTGAGACTTATATAAACCTAAAATGGAATGTGAAATGAAAATTATAAGCTAATCTTAGGGATTTTCACAAGGTAACATAAATAGGTACATATATTAGGTGATATGATTAAAGGGACTTGAGAATATATGTTGTTTGCTTATGTATAAATGCTCACATCTTGAGGTGTACACATGTTATACATGCCCATACATAAATTACATATTTTTTTCCCCAAAACTGGCTGGCGAATGAGGGTTTCCTTAAATTTCACAGTACTCCACAAAGTGGCACTGTAACATTGCATGAGCAGAACGGACAGCACCTCTGGGGTCCCTGTAATCTCATTCCATGTTTCTGTTAAGTCATCCTAAATTTGATGATTGAGACATTGCACGAGTAATCATTCATGGAAGGTAGTGTGCTCAGGTGAACAAGGGCCCAGTTGGTAACAAGACATATTTGGATTTGAATGCTGCATTTTTTAATTATTTAAATTTTTTTTTTTTTTTTTTTTTTTTTTTTTTTACCTTTTAAAGGGTTCAAATGTATTTTGGGCATGTTATTGTGAAACGAGGGTCTAAGGTGATCAATTGCCATGGTCACATTGATAAATCATTTCCTTTGTTTCACAATGACCTGTGGTACTGAAGTTGCCCTGTATTTCCCAGGGATCCCAGATATCAGGGAGTACAATGTCCGCTACACAGTGAATACTTTAAAATGAATGGTGCTA